AAACTGAGGATGGTAGCTCCAGGCTCGTGTTTGTGGAGGGTGAAACGATCCTATGAACCATTGGTCGTATATATTGTTCGGGGTCCCAAAAAATTTCGATAAGGCTCAAAAGTAGGAATGGTATTAGGGGAATAATTATATATATTCCCATAGTACTGGCCGGGGTCATCCGGGTGGCGATATAGGTTCGTGCAGGGTATACGTGACCTGTATAACATGAACGTATTTGGCATGCCACATGGCATCCTGCCGGAGCTCTAATGGCTAGGTAAACGTGACCTAGGGTACTGTCTGATGTCAGATGCCTTCAAGTTATTGCAGCCTCTTTCCAACGGATGAGGTTAGATGTGTAACACGCTCTTTCGGTGGGTTTTCTTTTCGAGATGCCTTACTTCCCATAAATACAATAGCGGCTTTGCCTGTGGCAGCTACGTTAGCTACGAAGTTTTCTTCGCCATCGTTGGACAAAATGCGTTTAAAAATGACCTTCTTCGGGATCTTTGTAGGTCTAAAGTACATGGTTTTTCCTGCAGGTCTGTGTTTAGTGACGTTACTATCAGCCGAAGGGTTTTTATCTGTATTTAACTTAGGGAGGATAGTACTGATAGTTGGGGTTTCGTGAGGAATTAAACAATCCTGATTACTTAGTTCCAAGTCCACCTGGGATTGCTTTACTGCCAGAGTGGTTAGCGCAATAGGATTACTGGTCATAACAGCACTATTCGAATGTTTCTCGGGGCATTCAGTACCTTCGTAGTTTGCATATGTCGGAGTTGTAGGACCTTTTCTCCTTTGTTTTCTGCGCTGACAAGGAGTTTTGTCCCGTACAGTTGTGATAGTTTTAAAATTACTGTTTAGTTTTATATGATCCTGATAGTTAGTGAACCTCTTAGCACCATATGAAGTGGTGAACTTGAAAAGAATGGGGCAACTTAGCTGTGCTGCTTTCTTGCGGAGGCATTTACAATCACAGTGCACAGGCGTCATGCCACATGAGTTTAATGACCTTTTCTTAAAGACATCTAAAGATATTGTATCTGGAACATTATATACTGTTGCCTGTTGAGAAGATGCCAGCCTCTTCATTACTTCAGTTGCCAAGTAATCTATCAGCGTTTCAGCCTCTTCAATAAGGTTTGGGACTAGGTTGTTGTGTTTCCAAAAAAGATATGCTAAGGGTTAAAAGTCCTCAACTACTCTCTTGATTCCATCTATCATGGGCTTAATACTGTCAGTTTCTTCTCTATTTTCCCCGATGTTATTATTCACGACCGACATGATGTCTTCAACCCTGACGAGCAGTATAAGGCATGTAAGTTTGTCGGGATGTGGATTACATGACGTGGTAGAGTTTCAGGCACAACCTGAAATATTAGTAGAACCGACTCTTTTGCTCTTATTGCTAGAGCTATCTACCTTCGGGCGCTTTGCTTTCAACCGTCCCACTCTTATAATAGGTTTTAAGTGAGATGTGCAGTTGACGGTAATGTGTGCAGTCTAAAAGGATGGGAATCAACTGTCTATATATGACGACGTGGCCTTAAATTATCCAGACAGAATATATCGTTATATTACCATATATATACAGTAATAATGAACTTAGCACGACAGGAAGTCGACAAAATATATAATCAAGGATCATGTGTAAAAGCAGCTTATAGTTTCAAAGTTACCGCGTTATTTATTTATTTATCTTTTAGTGCAGAAACACATCGAGACAAAAATTGAGCAGCATCATGTTCTGCCTGTGGTTCCCTCATAGTCGGTTCAAATTATTCATTTGCAACTAAGTAGTTCGGAAACGGCTTTCGGTTGTCATGCAGCCCAAAAACAATACTTGATGATTTTTTCTCCAATAGCATGGAAACAATTCGGTTAAATAGAGCTCCGCGGACCTTCAGAAATGTTCAAAGATCAGCTAGCTTTGCGCCTGGAGTCGATCTGTACATTAACTTGACCTCCAAGATTTTCGGCTGCCACTTAAAATTGGTAGATCGCTTTGAAAGTCAGTTGATCGTTAACCTCAAATGCGCGGGTAATGCGTGAGTTTTCCCGGCTTTGGGCCGAAAAGTGCATGAAAAAATCCAAACAGTCTCGTTGATATAGGAATTGACTGCTCATGGACAAAAGAAACACTAGATAGGGAATCCCTCAGAAGCACCAGATGCAGGACCTCTACAGCTCAAGGGTGTTCACTGCATTGTCGATTGTGAATGCCGGGTTCAGTATTAGGTTATTCTGCGGAGAAGGTTGCTTACATTTTGAGGCAACACAAAAATTTAAATTCTTGTCTACAAATTTTTGTTCCATTTATTCTTCACCCTAATCTCCCGTAGGTTCTTTACCTCATCATCAAAAAGTGTCCATACATATGTTTCTCATTCTTGAAAAGCGTTAATAAACAGGACTACTCATCCCACCATGAGAAATAAAACTTTGAAGATTAAAAAGCTGTTCGCTACTAGTGGGCTCTCTGCTAACAGCTTTCTGAAAAGAGGTGACATGGTTTCTTTCAAATGGAACATCAAGGGAGCACAATTTATAATTTGTCACCGCTTCTAGGGAGCGGTTAGTAGACCTGTGAGCATGCTTAGGGTTCCTGGAGTTAGAATTCTCATGAAATTAATAAAACGATCATTCATGTATTTCCTTTATGTGTGAAGAAATAAATACTTCATTATCACACCATGAACTTAACATGAGAGAGGCTAGTTTACGAGTGTAGCCAACTTGATAATAGTGGAGAACTCTACAAGATTTAGGCAGTGATCGGTGGTGCAGGGGGGGGAGATGTTAAACTACTATAGCTTCAAAAGTGCCAGCAAGTTGTTAAAGGAACAGGAAAATATCATTTTTCAGTATACGCACAGTGCTTGTGAACTGAGATAATTTTCATCCAAATTTTCTGCCACAGAGGGCACGATAGCCGAGCGATATTCTAAGTTTGGCTCGCAGGTGGCTGATATGTTTAACCCGCACGTATAGTTTGACGTTCCTCGAGGGAGAAGTCCATTCTAGCGTCAGTTCATATGCCTATTCAGTTCAGTGACCAAGAAGCTCACCTCAGCGACTTCGAGAATCAGCGAGTGTCCATGTAGTCATTTAGTTTGGGTGAATATGTAAGTCCGAGTATTTCACACATGTCATGTGACTACACACAGCATTATAGATTTATACCACTTGAAATAGTAGCTCTAGTGAAAGAGAATGAACGTTGGAATAACTGTCGTCCAACGCAAATGCATTTTTAAACAGAATGCACCTTGTGGTATGCAGTATTATCAGGGGGCATTATTATTATTTATATTATTAGTCCCTTGGGTTCCTAGTGGAACATAGGGCTTCAGTAGCACGTCTCCACTTCATCCTGTTCTCTGAGATCTTTTGAACCTGGTTCCACGACAGCCCACAAGCTCTCATTTCCTCCTCGCACGATCTCCTCCATGTCACCCTTGGACGTCCAACTCGTCTCTTCCCATGGGGATTCCACTCGAGGGCCTGACGCGTGATGTCCCCAAAAGGCCTTCTCAGTGCATGGCCAATCCATCTCCACTTCTTCCTGCATATTTGTTGCTTGATAGGTTCTTGGTTGGTTCGTTCCCAGAGCTCCTTGTTGCTTATTCTTTCTGGCCATCTGATCTTTAGTAACGAGCGTAAGCAGTTGTTGATGAATGTCTGTAGTTTATTGGAAATGCCTTTCGTGACGCGCCAAGTCTCTGAACCATACAGGAGCACTGACTTGACGTTGGTGTTGAAAATCCGTATCTTGTTCCGCATGCTGATTGCAGAAGATCTCCACACTGGTTTCAGGCTAATGAACGCCTGTCTTGCTTTTCCGATTCTGACTTTTACGTCCTCGTCCGTCCCGCCTGTAGTTGAAACAGTGCTTCCTAGATAAGTGAAGGAGGTTACTTCCTTCAAGTTTCTCCCGTTGACGGTGATTGGAGTTTGTTGTTGTTGTTGATGGTGGTGGTGCGGTATCTTCATCACTTCTGTCTTCTCTATATTCACCTGAAGTCCCGTCTTAGCTGCCTCTTCTATCAACTTGTTAGTTTTTGCCTGCAGATCTTCAAGTTTATGTGACATTAGGCACAAGTCATCGGCGAAATCCAAGTCTTCTAGGTTCTTTTCCGCCGTCCAGCGTATCCCCCTCTTCTCGCTCCCCACTGTTTGCTGCATGATCCAGTCCACCACAATAAGGAATATCATGGGTGATAGTAGGCAACCTTGTTTCACTCCTGTCTTCACTTCAAAAGCATCACTGAGCTTCCCACTGTGAATTACTTGGCATGTGGCATCTTCATATAGTTGTTGAATGAGGCGGATAAAGGTTTGCGGTACTCCGTAGTAATGAAGCAGTTTCCAAATTACTTGTCGGTCGACGCTGTCAAAGGCCTTCTCGAAGTCGATAAAGTTGAGGTAGAGAGCTGATTGCCATTCTATGCTCTGTTCTATGATGATGCGAAGCGTTGCAATTTAGTCTGCACATGATTTGTACTTCCTGAAGCCTGCCTGTTGCGGTCGTAGTTTTGAATCCAGTGCATCTTTAAGCCTCTCCAGGATGATGCGGCTTAATATTTTGCTTGCTGGGGTGGACAGGAGAGTGATTCAGCGCCAGTTCTTGCAAACACTGAGGTCTCCCTTTTTGGCAGTTTGACAAGGTAACCCTTCTTCCAATCGTCAGGTACCTTCTCTTCCTTCCACACCTTCTGTAATAGTGGTGTGAGCATGTCCGCTGTTGTCTCTGCATCTGTTCTCAGTGCTTCTGGCGGTATTCCATCTGGTCCTGCTGCTTTCCCGCATTTCAGTAGCTTTATGGCGTTCAGGACTTCCATTTTCGTTGGGGGATTTATGTTCACTTGTAATTCAGCGGCTGCAGGTGGTATTTCTGGACGAAGTGCAGGTGGTGGTCGATTCAAGAGCTTCTTGAAGTGGTCGGCCCATCGTTTCCTCTGTTTCTCTTCTTTCGTAATTAAATTTCCGACATCATCTTTTATTGGTTTCATCTGTGTTGGTCTCTTCCCTGATAGCAACCTGGTTATTTGATACAATGTCGTCAGGTCTCTGTCTCTCCTACCTGCAGCCTGTTCTGCTTCACTTGCCAGTGTTTCGTAGAAGTGTCTTTTGTCTTTGCGTGCACTCTTCTTTACTTCTTTGTTCAGTGTTTTATACATTGTGCTCAGTTCCTCTTGTCGTTGAGCATCCTTGCACTGGTTTATCTTCTGCTTCACCATTCTCCTCTCCTCTATCAGCTTCCAGGTATCCGTCGAGATCCATTCCTTGTCTTCTTTCTTCTTCCTTCCTAATACTGTTGTGCAGGTTTCTTTCCACATAGCTTTCAAAGACTTCCAGTGTTCTTCCACACAGGTTTCTTCAGGGATGTTCCTCGATATCTCCCATTTTGTCTTGATGGCTGCTGTGAAGATCTCCTTTGTAGTTTCATCCTTCAGTTTCCGAGTGTTGTACTTGAATTGAGGTCTATCACCAGCTTCCTTGAAGGCTTTTAACTTGATTTGGAAGGTTCCTTGCACTAGATAGTGGTCTGAACCTACATCTGCTCCTCTTCTTCACCTTGTGTTAAGTAGACTGCGTCTCCATTTTCTTGAGATTGAGATAAAGTCGATTTGATTTTTAGTGTGTCCATCTGGTGAAGTCCATGTCGCTTTGTGGATATCCTTGTGCCTGAACACACTGCCTCCAATCACCAAATCGTTGAATGCGCAGAATTCTGCAAACAATTCTCCATTCTCATTCATTTCACCTAGCGCCTCTCGACCCATGGTTAGTTCTCTTCCCGTGTTGTCCCCTCCCAGTTTGGCATTCATGTCGCCCATCAGAATTTTGATATCGCCAACTGACGTCTTGTCCAGTGTTGATTGAAGTTGTCTGTAGAATTCCTCCTTTTTCTCTTGCTCTGCATTATTTGTAGGTGCATAGCATTGTATGATTGTGACCTTTCTTCCTTTTGAGTTGAATCTTGCTGTCATGATCCTGGAGGAGATTGGTTCCCACTGCATGAGAGCCTTCGATGCTCTTGAGGACATCATGATAGCCACTCCCTCAGTGTGCTCGTGGTTGGCGTCTGGGTGACCGGAGTAGATTATTGGTTCTCCAGTTGACAGTTTGGAGAGTCCACTCCCATTCCATCTGCTTTCGCAAATCCCAAGCACTTCGATGTGACACCTTCACATCTCCTTTGCAATCTGGGCTGCCTTGCTGGGTTCAAACATCGTACGGACATTCCATGTCCCCACGTTTACTTTCGCTTTCATCGAGAGGAGAGAAGACACATCGGCCAATTGGCTTCCCGAAGGCTTTCACCAACTGGCGTCATTTCGCCTCTCCGATTCCAGCGAGGAATAAGTTTGTTTTCATTTTTTATATTTTGTTTGTGCTTTGAAGTTTCTTTAGCGGTTAGATTTGTTTTACGGGGTAGGGTTGCTAGCCCTATGCCCAACCTTCCCTCTTTACCTGGGCTTAGGACCGGCTAGTAACTGGTGAACTAGTTAACCAGGCGAGGTTACCAAGGGGCATGATGAATGCTAATTATCTTACATTATATGAAATTAAATGAGATGAAATATCAGAGAAGTCGGTTGCTCAGAACTGTCGCAAATAAACTGCCTTCGAAGATGTTGAGTGAATTGATCCCTTAGGTTTCCTTGTTTATCCAGATTTACGCCACCAATAAATTGACCCTCCAGAAATCTTGAACCAGTTGATGTAGTCTGGGCTCTGCATGTAAATGTACAAGCATATATTATCATGCAAAATGTTTTGGATGATATATTTTAGTCTGCGGACATGACCAGGCATGTGGCGTCGCACGCTTCTTCAGAATTAATTGCCTAGGGTTAGACGGGATTCAACATTGATGCTGACCTCCATAGTTTAACTGGACTGGCTAGGCGGAAGACACCCGGCCAAGCATTCTCACCAATTGGCATGCCGTCGTGTTACGCTGCACTGCTCGCAATCGGCCCTCTAGCCAGTTAGTTGGAAAGCATTGGTATCTTGGTGAGACCTCGCAAGTATACTGTTCTATCCGACTACGCAACTGTATTCTTCCTTGTACTCATATTCGCGGGTATGCAACATGTTTGGATAATTGGTGATTGGCCTCTGCGTTCGTCAGTTTCGCACGAGGACAATTCCTGAAGGCATGCGTGGACGCAAACAATATCAAGTTTGCGTTTGTTTTCCCTGTTGATTTAAAGTACACAGCTTTCTGCCGGAAAATACAGCAACGGCCATAAGACGTACATTTATAAATGTTTACTGGCTAGTCAGTGAATATATAAGGGTCCGCCAATCTTCATTTATCAACGGTTGGTGTGATTCCTTGGCGTAGCCATTATTAATGGAATTCAGGAGGTTTGATTTGGCCCATTGCAACTTGAAATCGAATTTCAGCCATTCATAGTGGTTGGCTGGCTTGGTAAATGTAATAACTCATTGTTTAGTCATACACTGTAATCATCGGGGGCTTGCTTATAGCCTCATAGGCTCAAGCAACACATTTAAGCAACTCGATGATAGAGCGATGTTCTTCTGTTGGCAGAGTCAAATGAGTGGATGGGGGCTGATGGTCCCTGCCTAGTGGATGGTGAATTTCGTGGCAGCACAGCTTCATTATTCTGGGGAACAGCGGAGAGTTGAGAACATAGTTCTCGGTTGGGTCCTGCTGATGCTGCGAAACGTATACGTGATATGGGTATTCGAAGTCTTCAACTAAACTCTGTGTTCGTTTACTGTTAAGATTTATAGGTACTTAGGCGTGTATTCGTCACAGTCCACTTAAGGAATAATGTGAGGACGCAAGAGGACTGAAACGTTCTGATGTATTAATGCTATATACTTCGAACAATCTGATCACGCATGAACTTGCCGAATAATCTGTATAAAAACTGGGAATGTTAATTAAGCCCGTGGATTTGTAATTAAGAGAGCTAGCAAAGACAGAACATAAAATACGTAGAACCAATGCTTCAAGGTTGGTCTGTTTAAGCACAAATTTTCTTTGAACACATGAAGAGGGTTTGAATTTATGGATAGCAAGTGACGCGTAGAATCCAAGTGTCGGTCCGTGACCACGTTAACGCGGTCTTATGCGAAGTGTTTGAAAAAGTACACGTGCAATCACATTTTTTGGGATGTGTAGAGCTAATACATCACATATTTCAGATGAATTCCATCTTTTTACTGCCCCGTTTAAATCTATCGGGAGGACCAGTCATTTTACCGTCCATTTGCCTCATATGTTGGCGATGTCTTCGTATTGCTACCGTCTAACGCACGGGTAGGAAAAAAACGAAATCAAGTGGAGGTTCTGTACTTTCGTGACCGAAAACTGTTTACTTTGAAGGGTACTGTTACGTCTGTAGTTTTAGTAACGATGTCGGCGGTACCTTTCATGAAACAGTCATGTTATCCGAAGTCATTTACCGTAGTGCATCTTTGAAGTGAAGAATTTCGGCCTGGTAACTGCCTTAAAATGCACAGTTTCCACTGTTGTGGCTGTCGTTTAACTCATAGACAGTTTTATTTATGAACCACGTGTCTGTGCTTGTACTGTAAGTCAGTCTGTTAACAAGCTTGTGAAGCAGCATCAAGTTCAGTATGAGGCTTCGTTTTCACATTACCTCAAGCTTCAGGGTATTTCATCTGAAGAAGAATTATTGTTCACTCGTCATTCGTGTACAATATCCCTGAACTCTTTCAACTTTCAGTTTATCCGTAACCCGTATACTGACGCAAATGAAGGATCAGTACCTGAGAAGTATCCGACACATGTTTTATACAAGATAACTCTGAACACGTTGCTTTAGAGGTCTCGTATTAAGAAGCCTACAATCTTGCACGATCTCGATATATGCGTGAATGTGCTGAGAGAAGGTTAGTCAGTGGGAACATAACAGCACTGGGTTTAGTACAGATTTCAAATATTGGAGTGAATGCCTGGTTACTGTCAGGTGTAATCTAATAGCACGGTCGCCTACACACAACCAACCACACTCTCATACGTTAAACTTGAGTCGCCAGGCTTCGCAGCACATGACAGAATATCTTAGTTCCTCTTGCATAGGGTTAATGGTGAAGGCTAAGTCACCGCTGGAGCGAGCGTAGAGTACTTTCTGGCCATACGCATATGGAATGGACCTCCCACCTTCAAGCATTCCCACACACCAATGATGCTTACTATGATGAACAGTGGATCTAACACACTGCCCTGGACAACTCCGCCGGCTGTTGAATAAGGCTTTGGGACAGTTGAGCCATCTTTTGTTGCTCGACAACGCTTACACGAAAAGGATTTTAGCCAACCTTTGACTAAATGGCAGATTCCATGGGAACTTAACCCAGGGATAAGCAAGTTGTGTGGGACTCTGTCAAAGGCTTCAGTGGTGTCGAAGTAAAGTGCTACCCCTAAAATTTTCCTATTTCCTCCGTAGGTGATCCCGTTAAAAAATCAAAGGGGCTTGCTGTGGATGATCCTGTTTTCAGAAAGCCATATTGTGGTGAGTTGATATTACTACATTCGGTTTTCGGTCGCCTTCTCCGTGATCCACGAAATAACTGGGCTTAGTCAATCGGGATGTAATTACTGATGCTTGCCTTGACTCCTGACAGAAGTTTTGGCCGCACGTATATATGGTTTACCATCCATCAGGATAGGTTCCAGAATTAAGTGAAGGATAAACACCATAAATAATTAAGCTACTATGTCCGTGCCTGCCCTTTTGTAAGTCATTGGCGGTATCTCACCTGTCTCGGAGCCAACGTTTGCTAAAGCGTTTAATGATAACAATAATAATAATATGTTTACCGGCTGCCTCGATGTCAGGGGGTGGAGGTATGTTGGTACTGTTAAGAAACCATTCACTTGGCAGTTCCGATATTGCCCGAGGATCGTGGTAGGGCAAAACTTTATGCTTGTTAAACAGTCTTTTGTATTTTTGTTTCGCTTTCGCGGGATACTTAAAAGGTCTTGCTTTTGGACGAGCTATCAAAGGCCCTAAGTACTTCAACCAGTGGCCTCATCCAGTATCTCTTAAAGTGAAAAAATGTTGTAAGTATTTAGTTCAGAGCATTAGGCTCTTTCAGAACAGAGTACTCCCTTCTTAATTTCCTCAGTTTACGCCTGAGTTTCTATCCATAAATATGATTTTCTTCAGGTTGAGTTTAGAGAGGGCGACCGCGTTCTAAGGGTAACCAGCAATCCCGTAAGATCCGTCTATGGTTTGACAAAAATTGCAGAGGGGAAAAAAGTCTGACAGATTAGGGCGTCTTATGAGTGTTGCATGGGGTTACAGACGGCATCCTGAGGCCCTTGTGCTGGTTATACTTCGGTGTTAACC